AAGCAGAAGATCCGTGCAGAATGTTGCACTTGACCCGAGGTCCAGGAACGCATGAGTGACGACCGATCGTGAGCCGTCAGGTGATCGAACTAACACGGGAATCACTGCCATCATTGTGGACGAGTCTCCGCGAGCACCAGCCGCCACTTCTGCGCCGTCTATTTCCAATCGTCCGTTTCTTACGACGGCTGCCGGCCCTGCACTGCTACCACTGCTTTGCTTGCTTGTAGCAGAAAATTCGGAAGGAGATGCCTGCTTGTCGTTGTGCAGCGGAGTCGGATGGCGACCCTTGCAGATCTTGCAGGACAGCCTTTTTGTGCACACACTGATCTGATGCCGCTGCCGAAGGCACCCGAAACAAAGTCTTTGTTCAACGATGAACGTTCTTCTCTTTTCATAGGGCTCATGATTCAGCCTCTCACAGGAATCCGTTGAATGCTGCTCGGCACAGTACAGGCACGTCATCACCCGAGGAGATGCGTCCTTATTGACACCTGTTGCAGACACGATGTGAGGCTTCTTACCGCTTCCATCTGGCTTGGTCAGCTTCCCGAAGGTGGGATCTGTGATTTTTCTCACTTCTCTGTCAACGAAAACTACGATGTCTTCAAATGTCACCTTCCTGTTTGCTTCTTCCTTTATTTGTATCACTCTATTGCGCCACCTGTCCTGGCAGTGATAGGGAAGCTTTTCCACTATCTTGCGCATCGTTCTTGGATGGTCGGTCTCTCTCGACCCTGGAGGTATATCTTTCATCACGTTGAGACACGACGTGAGCGCGATGGAGAACTTGTCCAGGCTGTCCACATCACCCGGCTTGATAGAATTCCAATCAGTCAGAATGTCGACAAATGCTGATGACACCGAATCGGGGTCTCCATATCGCCTGTTGAGCAGGCGCCTGGCCTCCAGATAACCCGACCCATCTGACATATGCGCGCATCCACGTACGATATCAAGAGGCTTCCCGCGCAAATAGGTCTGAAGATAATAAAGCCTCTCGTCGGGATCATCAGTTTTACTGGCGACTCTGGAGTCGAAAGCTCTAACAAAACTGCGATACTTCGTTACATCGCCGTCGAAGACCGGTATCTCCAGCTTAGGCAACTGGCCCTTCTGAAGCTGAGTGAGCAGCACCCTTGAGTAGTCTGCCTGCTGTGACTGCTGAGGCTCTGTATGACCCCTCTGCTCTGTCGCTGCTCCTGCTGCCTCCGAGTCGTCTATGCTCCTAGCCTCGTGCGTGGTGGGCTCCTGCGATCTCCCAGACGGTCCATCAGAACAGCGACGCTCTTGAGTAGGGTTCCTGAGCCCTGTTTCTGGCTCAGCATTCCCGGAAGTCAGAGACTGAGAGGACGGCTGGTTTTGTCGGTCGGAGAAGGATGTGACTGGTCGTGCCGTGGCCGCCATACCCTCTGGCTGATCAGCTTCCGCCAGGATCTTCTCTCTTGCCTCCGATTCTGCAAGCTCGGTTCTTATCATTAGTTCCTCTTTACGAAGCCGAAGATTCAGCTCCTCCAATTCGATTTTACGTTTCTCCTGCAGAAACGAGGCTCGTGCCAGCAATGCAGCTCTTTTTGTCGCTTCAATAGCTCGCAGTGAGCGCACTGAGGCGGCAGAGGCGGAAGTGTGACAAGAGACAACTGACTCGCCACACACGGATTGGTCATTCAACGCCACCTCAGTTATGGAGTCGTTATCTTGTCCGTTGTTGTAATCGGCGTCTTCTCGGTTCCTGCTAGAACCATCGTCCTTTTCATATCTCATAAGCTCTTGCAAACGTCGAACTAGAACGGCCTTCGTGCCCTTAATATTTGCGTGTCTCTTCCTCAGTCGCTCTTTCAACTCACTCACGGTAAGTCTGTCAAGCTTGTCCATTTTGTGACTTCGCGAGTTGCGTCCGATTAACCGAATCAAATGCAGCACAGTGGACCGATTGATCTGCTGTGATGCGTTGAATGCGATCGTCTCTCACGTCAGGCCAGGACGAGACGAGACGTCAGCCGTGAAGCGCGTATGAACTCGCCTTCAGACGTTTTCAATTGGTGCAGTCAATCTGTCACGCAAGTCCGTCGTTTCACTAAAGCCGTCGTTTTCTTGGAAATACAAGAGCTTTTCACATCTTGCAATCATTCTTAGGCCTCATCTCGCATGCTATTGCAGTCTTGCCAACTTAATCTCGCTTACATCCAAATATGTCATTGTTCTTGCATATTTCTACGCTTTACCTTCTCGTTTGGCTTTAACTTCGCACAAAGCTTTATCTTAAAGCTTTTACTTGAATGCATTGGCTTTAACTAAATGCTTTAGCTTGAATGCATCAGCTTAAACTTAACTGTGCAAAGGTTTTAAATGCAAAGCCTTTAAACTAAATGCAAGCTTCGACTTCGAACAAAGCCTTAACTTTAAGCCTTTACTTTAATCCATCAGCTTTAACTGTAGCCGCCGAGCCGCTGTTCGCTGTAACGGACATTATTTTCGATTCGTTGGGTGAGATGCCTTTGGTGAAATGCGAAACTTCAGCTAATGATTTATTCAAATCTTAGTTCATCTCTATGTCATGTCATGTCATGTCGTTAAAGCTTTATGCATCTTACGGCTCAGAGCTAAATCAATTAGTATACACAAAACTACGCATCGTAATACAGCAATCGAAAACCCACCAATTTTAGCCTTTTTCGATGACCTGGAAATTTAAATTAAATCTCGCGGGCATCGCACGCGAATATAACTAACGGCGCCGCCACATGACAGACTATTTACAAATATGTACAATACCGTATCGGAATAACGTGATGAGGCGGCAACAGACTGTATAACAGGACGGCTGGAATAACGACTACATGTGGCGACTTTCTGAATTCAGAAGGACCTAATTCGCGCACAGATTTTACCTTCCTCAGCGTTAGTCTGGCCCCTGGACCTTGGATCGAAGGGGAGGGGGTAGAAACCCAGCATTAGCTCTGGACCAGTGGCGGATCGAAGGGGAGGGGGTAGAAAACGTTCCCCTGGGACCTTCGAACCATGGTGCGAGTGTCTTTTTACTTTGATTCCGCATGGTTGAGTACAGAAAGCATTACAATCAATTACTGGTTTCAAGCATTTCCTAGTCTTCATTTGTTAGGCTTTCTTTCGGTGGGAATCCATTCCAATTTATTCCGTACATTTGCGAACCACATAAATTAATACTAATTCATTTGTATATTTATAAATTATATAAGATATTAAGTTATAATAAGTTGTATTACCGTATCTCTGTCAGTCCGCAGACAGTTGGCCGTCTCTTTGTGTGACTGTATCTCTCTCTCTCTCTCTCTCTCTCTCTCTCTCTCTCTCTCTCTCTCTCTCTCTCTCTCTCTCTCTCTCTCTCTCTCTCTCTCTCTCTCTCTTCTCTCTCTCTCTCTCTCTCTCTCTCTCTCTCTCTCTCTCTCTCTCTCTCTCTCTCTCTCTCTCTCTCTCTCTCTCTCTCTCTCTCTCTCTCTCTGTGTCCACAGACGGCCGTGTGGCTGCTGCTGCTGACAGTATCAGTCCACAGACAGTTGGCCGTCTCTCTGTCAGTCCACAGACAGTTGGCCGTCTCTCTGTCAGTCCACAGACAGTGACTGTATCTCTCTGTGTCCACAGACGGCCGTGTGGCTGCTGCTGCTGACAGTATCAGTCCACAGACAGTGACTGTATCTCTCTCTGTGTCCACAGACGGCCGTGTGGCTGCTGCTGCTGACAGTATCAGTCCACAGACAGTGACTGTATCTCTCTCTGTGTCCACAGACGGCCGTGTGGCTGCTGCTGCTGACAGTATCAGTCCACAGACAGTGACTGTATCTTGTATCTCTATCTGTGTCCACAGACGGCCGTGTGGCTGCTGCTGCTGACAGTATCAGTCCACAGACAGTGACTGTATCTCTGTCAGTCCACAGACAGTTGGCCGTCTCTCTGTCAGTCCACAGACAGTGACTGTATCTCTCTCTCTGTGTGTCCACAGACGGCCGTGTGGCTGCTGCTGCTGACAGTATCAGTCCACAGACAGTGACTGTATCTCTCTCTGTGTCCACAGACGGCCGTGTGGCTGCTGCTGCTGACAGTATCAGTCCACAGACAGTGACTGTATCTTGTATCTCTATCTGTGTCCACAGACGGCCGTGTGGCTGCTGCTGCTGACAGTATCAGTCCACAGACAGTGACTGTATCTCTGTCAGTCCACAGACGGCCGTGTGGCTGCTGCTGCTGACAGTATCAGTCCACAGACAGTTGGCCGTCTCTCTGTCAGTCCACAGACAGTTGGCCGTCTCTCTGTCAGTCCACAGACAGTGACTGTATCTCTCTCTGTGTCCACAGACGGCCGTGTGGCTGCTGCTGCTGACAGTATCAGTCCACAGACAGTGACTGTATCTCTCTCTGTGTCCACAGACGGCCGTGTGGCTGCTGCTGCTGACAGTATCAGTCCACAGACAGTGACTGTATCTTGTATCTCTATCTGTGTCCACAGACGGCCGTGTGGCTGCTGCTGCTGACAGTATCAGTCCACAGACAGTGACTGTATCTCTGTCAGTCCACAGACAGTTGGCCGTCTCTCTGTCAGTCCACAGACAGTGACTGTATCTCTCTCTGTGTCCACAGACGGCCGTGTGGCTGCTGCTGCTGACAGTATCAGTCCACAGACAGTGACTGTATCTCTCTCTGTGTGTCCACAGACGGCCGTGTGGCTGCTGCTGCTGACGGTATCAGTCCACAGACAGTTGGCCGTCTCTCTGTCAGTCCACAGACAGTGACTGTATCTCTCTCTCTGTGTGTCCACAGACGGCCGTGTGGCTGCTGCTGCTGACAGTATCAGTCCACAGACAGTTGGCCGTCTCTCTGTCAGTCCACAGACAGTTGGCCGTCTCTCTGTCAGTCCACAGACAGTGACTGTATCTCTCTCTGTGTCCACAGACGGCCGTGTGGCTGCTGCTGCTGACAGTATCAGTCCACAGACAGTGACTGTATCTCTCTCTGTGTGTCCACAGACGGCCGTGTGGCTGCTGCTGCTGACGGTGACGGTAACCGCCGTCTCAGCCAGAGGCTACCGATCGGTGAGTGACGTCTCCAGGGGAATCGGGGGATAACTGAACTCACTGGGGGAATAGGGGAATAACTGGACTCACTGGGGGAATAGGGGGATAACTGGACTCACTGGGGGAATAGGGGGATAACTGAACTCACTGGGGGAATAGGGGGATAACTGGACTCACTGGGGGAATAAGGGGATAACTGGACTCACTGGGGGAATAGGGGGATAACTGGACTCACTGGGGGGATAGGGGGATAACTGGACTCACTGGGGGAATAGGGGGATAACTGGACTCACTGGGGGGATAGGGGGTAACTGGACTCACTGGCGGAGTAAGGGAATAATAAGCCTCACTGAGGAAAACTGGTAACCGATGCGGTTCATTATATAAATAACTTAACCCGCGCCGGGACGGGGGTGTTTGAACACCCCCCCCTTGCGGTTTTTCGCAGATATCTCAAAAATGGCGGCGCGGAGCGCCGCGGTTTTTGGCACACCTGTTTGTGCATCTTTTCCGCACATGTTGTGAAAATTTCAGACCCAGGTCGCCTTAGGTCAGGTCACCAGGTCACGCCAAGTGACCTCACCCCAGAAAAAATAAGAATGCTCGTTATAGCTACACCGATATAGCTACATCGTTATGTCCCCAAGGTCATCTCAGGACTCAGGTCACGAACAAAATCTAACAGTTTTTCGCTAATAACTTCGGATAGATGCGTGCTAGAGCGCTGATAACGCCTTAGATGTGTTCGGCTCGACGTTGCGGATCGACTGATATGCAACATGACCTTTTCCGGTCAGTTCAAGACCTTGACCTGAGGTCAAATTTTCAAGTTGACTCTTCAGGGTCAAATTATAGTTCATTCGACGCGTCTCGACGAGAGGAACACGATGGTGGCAAAAGTAATGTCATGGCTCTTTTGAGTCAAAAGTTATTGCCGAAAAAACGTTTTTCGTAAAATCTGCTATTTTTGGAGTTTTTGCCCTCTGGAGGCTAAACCGTTGACCTGAGGTCAAATCTGAGAACATTACTCAGAAAGTATGTAAAAAGGCCATCGAATGCGCTTTTCTGCGGCGCTCTAGCTCTATCGGTTCCTGAGATAGCCGTTGGCAGTTTCCAAAATGTTGAAATAATTAACATTTTACCTTTGGTGACCTCTGATGACCTGACCTTTGACCTGACCCAAAAATGACCGAAGTGTTTTCGTCCTTATTTTGGACGTTCTTTCGATTGCCGCTTACCGCGTGTCGCTACGTGGCGCAGGAGCCGAGTTAGAAGGGGGTGTTCAGACACCCCCCCCCCCGGCCCGGGGCGGAATCTCAGAGCACCGGCCCGGCGCGGGTTAAAAAGGAACATCTTTGTTCTTACTTCTTGCGTCATTTTTTTCCAGAAATGTTGTCCTTATGTATGTATGAATGGGTGGCTTTGGACCCGGTTGCCACACTATGCGGTGCTTGTTGCGAATTATACAAAGTACCCACCACCCGACCTTGCCCGCGCCCGGTGCACAGGTGCTGATTTAACCGAAAATTATCGACAATATTTAAAAGTGCTATTCAACCACTAAATGTAATCATCTGCAGACATGTCGTACCCTATCAACGACATTTACTACCGATATCGCTTGCAAACGGTCGCAGCCTGTTGATAACGCTTACAAACAGTCGCAGAGCAGCTGATAACGTTTACAAACGGTCGCAGAGCAATTGCTCCACATTACACAACACTAAATGCGGCCCCTCTGAAACCTTTGGTGATTGTGGGCATGACACTCACAGGCGTCGCGGTCTCTAAGCTAATACATTACAGACGCTCCAAGGATCAGTTTCCCAATTGTTTCAATTTTTAATTAGCACCCTAAGTGTTGTTTTGATTATAATAATTCTTTAGGACACGCCTTGTCGATTGATTTTATTGATTTTCATGAAACTAAGGTAAGAGTCTGAAGCGTCAATTTATATTTCATATTTTGTTCGATTTTTAAACGTCTTTTAAATTGATATAATTTGTACTGTTTTCTATATTTGAGCTCAACTACCAATCTGAAAAAGCGGACTGTCTCCCGTTGCCGAGCTATATTCTGGTACACGGCGGGTGCTGCCTGCCACGGAGGGTCGCTGCCTGAGCGACCCTCCCCACGGCGGGTCGCTGTCAGGCGCTGTGTCTCCAGTCCTCCCCCCCCCCACGGCGGGGGGTCGGTCGGCGCCAGGGCTCAATCTTACTTCTTATCGCAATGCCGTGAATAGGATTTGGCAGCACTGGCCGGAATAACCGGCAATAATCTGCAATGTGTTATTTTTGTTTATGTCCAGCCAATATCTCCGAATGTGTCTAATGGCGAGAATGATTATTATTGCTGCCTGAATAGATAATGAATGAATGAATAATGAATGAATGAATGATTGGATGAACGGAATATTGAATAGGTACTCATGAATCTTACCAAATGCTGTGAATGCGCATTCACGCCAGTTGGTAAGATTGGGCCCTGGTTCGTCTGCGTCCCCCGCCTCGTACCGGCTGTTCCGCCCTGGGCACGGCTGTGACGTCATTTGGCCCGCCCCCTCTGATTGACTGAATGCCATTTACATTATAACCGGTGTCGGAGGCTCCCCGAACACGCACGACGGCACGACTCTCCGCGAAAGCGCAGACGGTACATACAATGACGAAACGCTGTCCCATCGGCCGGCTGAAATTCAGATTATCCATTAATTAATGCGCCGGGGTGTGAAGGGTCGCGACCGCGCTGGCATCGGCAGCGGTCTGTCGATATATCGGGGACGGCCCCCACTTACACTGGCAGCGGTGTGTCGATATATCGGGGACGGCCCCCACTTATACTGACAGCGGTGTGTCGATATCGGGGACGGTCCCCATTTACACTGACAGAGATCTGTCGATATCGGGGACGGCCCCCACTTATACTGACAGCGGTCTGTCGATATCGGGGACGGCCCCCACTTACACTGGCAGCGGTCTGTCGATATCGGGGACGGCCCCCACTTACACTGGCAGCGGTGTGTCGATATCGGGGACGGTCCCCATTTACACTGACAGAGATCTGTCGATATCGGGGACGGTCCCCACTTACACTGGCAGCGGTGTGTCGATATCGGGGACGGTCCCCATTTACACTGACAGAGATCTGTCGATATCGGGGACGGTCCCCATTTACACTGACAGAGATCTGTCGATATCGGGGACGGCCCCCACTTACACTGGCAGCGGTGTGTCGATATCGGGGACGGCCCCCACTTACACTGGCAGCGGTGTGTCGATATCGGGGACCGCCCTCCCTTACACTGACAGCGGTGTGTCGATATCGGGGACGGCCCCCACTTACACTGACAGCGGTGTGTCGATATCGGGGACGGCCCCCACTTACACTGGCAGCGGTGTGTCGATATCGGGGACGGTCCCCACTTACACTGACAGAGATCTGTCGATATCGGGGACGGCCCCCACTTACATACACTGGCAGCGGTGTATCGATATATCGGAGACGGCCCCCACTTACATACACTGGCAGCGGTGTGTCGATATCGGGGACGGCCCCCACTTACACTGACAGCGGTGTGTCGATATCGGGGACCGCCCTCCCTTACACTGACAGCGGTGTGTCGATATCGGGGACGGCCCCCACTTACACTGACAGCGGTGTGTCGATATCGGGGACGGCCCCCACTTACACTGGCAGCGGTGTGTCGATATCGGGGACGGTCCCCACTTACACTGACAGAGATCTGTCGATATCGGGGACGGCCCCCACTTACACTGGCAGCGGTGTGTCGATATCGGGGACGGTCCCCATTTACACTGACAGAGATCTGTCGATATCGGGGACGGTCCCCATTTACACTGACAGAGATCTGTCGATATCGGGGACGGCCCCCACTTACACTGGCAGCGGTGTGTCGATATCGGGGACGGCCCCCACTTACACTGGCAGCGGTGTGTCGATATCGGGGACGGCCCCCACTTATACTGACAGCGGTGTGTCGATATCGGGGACGGCCCCCACTTATACTGGCAGCGGTGTGTAGATATATCGGGGACGGCCCCCACTTACACTGGCAGCGGTGTGCGGGCGGAGGCGCCAGTGTTTGTCAATCGCCTCAAACCGCGGACTGCGGGGGTTTCACCGCGCAATGCCGCTAGGTTCGATGGAAATTAGTGGACATTTAAAGCGGTCATTGGCCATAGATACAAAGCCTAACTTACAAGTTAAGGCCGCGTCAATTTTGCGTCCTTTGATTTCTGACGAGTGCACAAATGTCGGTGTCTCATATGTTTGATGTGCCGACGACTACGATACACCCAATGCTCAGATAAGCACCATCAACGGTTTTCCGAGCAAATGTTGAATGCTCGTCTCCCTGTACCATTCCCCGCAGCACTGGAAAAAATTGTTGTGGCACCTTAGCAACTAACGCCCTTATAGCTAAGCAGCCGATGTTTTTCGATTGCCATACCGTTCACTGACGTAATTTACACATTTCCAGCACTTTGTACCTATAAACTAATGTACATTGTTATTTTGGCATTTTGTTATTTTGGCATTTTGTATTTTCACATTGGCATTTTGGCATTTGCCAAGTCTATTTTTAAGAGGGACTAGGGAGGGGTAGTTACGAGTCATTACCTGTTAACATCAATATACGATGGACTGAATTTTGCGAAAACTTTTTTGAATTAGTTGTTTTTCGAAGTTTGGCCATTGCTACCAAATTTTAAAAACCAACGGCATTTGGCACAGTTGTGCCGGGATGTGTTCGGAAATATATCTAACAATTATGCAGCGACAATATCCCTGTCCTACTCCTGCCCCCTTCCTCTCGCTGCTCTACTCCTGCACCCTTCCTCTCGCTGCCCTACTCCTGCCCCCTTCCTCTCGCTGCTCTACTCCTGCCCCCTTCCTCTCGCTGCCCTACTCCTGCCCCCTTCCTCTCGCTACTCTACTCCTGCCCCCTTCCTCTCCCTGCTCTACACCTGCATCCTTCCTCTCCCTGCCCTACTCC